AACAAGATCTTAACTTGTTTTTATTTTGTTGTAGTACTATGGATTATTGTCTAATTCGCTGTGTTCAGATGGCTTCTCGTAGTGTTAGAGCTTCTTTGGGCCTTCCCAGAAGTGATAACACTGTTGCACAAATATGTCTGGAAGAAAGACCTGCTTCTTCAATCTGATCCTGAGGTGCTCCATGGTCAATGTATCTATCAGGAAGCATCATTGATCTCAACTGCATTTTAGTAAACGGTAAAACTCATCAAAATTTAGAAACCCAATTCTTAAAAGAAAATAAATCCTCTCTTCCTTTTGGGAATCGTCTGTAAAGGACATAATTGACATGTACAAGAAAACTTTACCTTGAGGGGTCCATCCAAAATGCCATTCAAGCTTAGGAAATGTGAGACGTGTGAACCAAAACCTCCAATAGAACCTTCCTCCGCTGTGATCAAGATTTCGTGCTCTTTTGCCAGTCTTCTGATAAGATCAGCATCCAATGGTTTACAGAATCGAGCATCGGCTATTGTAGGGAAGATGTTATGGGATTTGAGCATTTCTGCAGCTCCAAGACATTGCTGAACTATTGCACCATATCCAAGAATTGCAATTCTATTGCCTTCTCTTAGTATCCTTCCCTTCCCAATCTGTTATTATAGATTAAAGAGTTAATCATTATTTAGTATTTAGAAGAGTTAAAAGTGGTTTTATATTATGTCCATCCAGAACCTAATTTGAGATCTAAAACAGATTTCTAGTGGCCTATAGGCTAAAGCAGTTTTTGGTTCAAACAGGTTCATTTCAACCTTTTGCTATTATTATCAGCGAATCAAGGATAAATTGTAATTTCAGATAATAAATTGAGTTACTAAGTTGAATTTACATGCAAACTGCCCATGAAGTACAACTGTTTCTATTGAAATTATTTCACTCATAAACTAGATAACATAATTCACTTTAGACACGAACACATCCACAAACTGAGATTTCAAAATTTTGGAAAACTTGACGTATTCTAGAACTAATTTTGATATTAACAGTATGAATTATAGTTCTTACCTCAAGTGGCGTTCCTTTGTTGTTTAAAGGAAGAACTGCTCCAACACCATTTCCTCTAGGAAACCTAAAGCAGCTTGGTCTATCATCTATGGCTGCTGCTGTTGCAACCATGTGCATAAGCTCTGCTTCATCTGATGGAGCCATCACCACCATGTTGGGCAAACAAGCCATGTATGCTACATCAAATGCTCCACAATGAGTTGGTCCATCAGCCCCGACCAAACC